TAGCAATCACACTATCAGAAGCTCAGTGTTGAGAATTCCCTATTTCATGCTTAATTTTAATTATTAAACAGTTCATGTGGCTAATGTTTCATTTACTCAGGTATCTCAAAGACTTTACCAGTCACAAGCACAAAGAGCCATATAAAATTTTAGTTTTGTGTGCTCTGAGTAGATATCTCTTCAAGGGTAGTGAATCTTAATAATACTTTCCAGCCTAACTCAGTTCCCTGGCCTACAATCTACTCTGAGTCAACACAGAAGCCAGAGTGGTTCTGTTACAATGTAAACCAGTTCATATCACTCCTTTGCTCATAACTGCCCCATCCTCATCTCAGATTAAAACCATGTATTTATAATATAGGTCCTAGAATCTGGCTTCCTGATCCTCATCCTCACAGCTCTTCTTTCTGTGTCTTAGTCCATTTTCTGGACTAAGCTTATAACAGAATACCCGAAACTGGGTAATTTTATTTCTTACAGTTCTGGAGTATTGGAATTCCAAGGTCAAGGGGGACATTTGGTGGGACCTTCTTGCATGTGGGGACTCTGCAGAGTACTGAGGTAGCACAGGTCATCACATGGCGAGGCGGCTGAGTGTGCTCACTCAGGTCTCTCTTCTTCTATTCCATTACTCCAGCCATACTAGCCTCTTTGCTGTTCCTCAAGCATGCAAGGCAGGATTTCCTCCTAAGGTCTTTGCACTTGCTGTTCCCTCTGTCTGGAATGCTATTCCTCCCATACCCATATGTGTCACCCCCTCACTTCCTTCAAGTCTTTCCTCAAAGGTCACTTTCTAAATGGGGTTACCCCAACTAGACCACCCTACTTAAAATCACAACCCTCCTAGCACTACCTATCCTCTTTAACTCATTTTATTTTTCCCATGCTACTTTAAAATTACACTATTTATTATGTTCATACTCTTTCTCCCTCTAGTAGAATGTAAGTTCCATGAGGGTAGAAATTTTGTTTACTATTGTATTTTGGCACGTAAGGCAGTACCTAAACACACTAGGCACTCAGAAAATATTAACTCTCTGAGTGAATGAATGAATCCAAAAGACTGGTAACATGGTACAGTTCTAAAAACACTGGACTTGGGGATTATAAGGCTAGGTTACAGGTCTTTACAATGAATTTGTCATATAAATTTGGGTAAGAAACAATCTCTCTGGATCTAAGAGCTTCCCCATCTATAAAACGAGGGAGTTGGGTAAAACGATCTATGAGATTCCTTCCAGATGTAAGAGCGTATGATTCTCAAGATCATGTTTATATTGCAGTCAATTTTGTGTAGACTTCAGAGGTAGCAGTTAACTTCTCTGACCCAAGGTGCCTTGGCTAAAGGAGTAGTGGTATGGTTTGGCTCTGAGTCCCCACCCAATTCCCATCTTGGATTGTAATCCCCATGTGTCAGGGGAGGGGCCTGGTGGGAGGTGATTGAATCATGGGAGTGGACATCCCCTTGCTGTTCTCATGATAGTGAGTTCTAGTGAAATCTGATGGATTAAAAGTGTGGCACTTCCCCCACCCCTCACCACTCTCTCTCTCCCCACCATGTAATACGTGCCTTGCTTCCCCTTTGCCTTCCGCCATGATTGTGAGTTTCCTGAAGCCTCCCAAGCCATGCGGAACTGTGAGTGTATTAAACCTAGTTATGAATTTCGCAGTCTCAGGTAGTTTTTTTTTATAGCAGTGTGAAAATGAACTCATACAAGTAGTATTTATGCATGGAGTTGTTTTTCTCCTAACAGCCTTGATGCTAATGTTCTTGAACCATATAACATATAGGGGCCTCAATTCTGGGTAACAACAAAGCAGGG